GAATTAAAGAAGTTAAAAAAAAAAAAAAAAAAGGTGTTCACCTAAATATTGCTCGCTTGATTTATGGAATAATAAACACACTTAGCAGACACACAGTAGATGACTATTGCTCAAGCCGGCCCCCTCCAGTGCAGAAGTGTCAGGGCTGTGCACTTTTGCAGGGACACGGGGGGACAGGCACCACACCTCCCTCTCCTTGTGATACTCAGGTGCAGCTTTGAACCCTGAGCATCCCTATTTCGCAGCAGCCTGAGGAAGCACACTATAAGCTTCACTCTACGGGCACCCATAACAGCGCAGACAGTGCAAGAAAAAAAACTGAGCATCAACTTCAAGAGCAAGCCATCAGCCACAGAACTAGGGGCTCCTGACAATCAGTAACCAAACTACACTTCAAAGCCCTGCCAAAGAAGACAGGTTAGTTATTTCACTTCATCTTCCTTGGCAAACACTTATCGCTGCAGACACGGCTCCAAGCCCCCACGAGCGCAGGACCCCAGGATCTCTCCCCATCTCCCTGCCCCCAGCTTCTCCTGAGCTCCAAGCGGGATGTTTGAATCACTAAAAAGAAGCAACAAGTTTATTTGTTCAGTCTTTGGGTAACTCAAATTGCAGGCTGGAAAAGGTAGATCTTAAAAAAAAAAAAAAAAAAAAAAAAAAAGAGAGAGATAAATAGGGGTGCTTCAGAGGAGGAAGAAACCCCACCCTCACACTAAGCAACCTGAGCTGCAAAAGCTCTCAGGCCATTTCTTGCCTCATCCAAATCAAGAGAGAAGTGTCCTTGCTGCTTTTGCACAAAGCTCACTTAACTTTCAGCGAGAGGCACTTTGCAGCAACAGACCTTTTCAAGGCCCACTGGCTGTTCAAACTAATAAAAGTGAGGCTTTGCCTGATGGAGTAACACCATGGGCACGCTGTGGCTAATCACTCCCTAGCTGAAATTTTAGGAGAGGGAAAAAACCAAAGTAGTAGAGACAGTACAGGGAAAGGAAGATGGGGCTACTTAGGAGGGGAGGAAAAAAAAACACCGAAAAAACCCAACCCCATCAAAATCCCTCAGTCCCAAACAGCAGCCCCTGAGAGCAGGGGGTCAAACTGAAAGACAAAGGCATTCAGCAAAGATGAAGTTATTTGGATTAATGACAGTAGTTCATCACTAGTGACAGGCTTGTTCATGCAAGCCCTCCTAGGATCCTAGCCATGACTGAGGACCTTCTAAGATGTCTAGTTGTTCTCCTACCTGCCCTTTTCAAAAATACAGTAGCCCAGGCATCAGCACATCCACTATTACCATCAGAATTTTGACCCCCGTAAATTTCTCCCTAGCATGCTCCAAGCAGGACATCTTTCTCCCCTGGAGAGCAGCTGTTACAGCAAATGCACAGATCCGGGCAAAGTATTTCAGGCTAAGGATGGAAAAAGCCTCACTGCAACGTAGGCTCTAGCAGAGGCTGGGGAGGGGACGTTACAGCCCTCCCACACCCAGATCGGAGTTTCCATCCCAAGACACATCCAGCACGGTCCTTGGCCCTCGGGCACAGGTTAAAGCAGATGCTTCTGCAAGGCTGGTTAGCAAAAAGAGAGACAACCTGTGCCCAGGATGGCCCCTCTGATCGTTTCTGGATTACACCAGAGTCAGCAAGCACCCACCAGAGCCACGTGCTAACATCTTCATGGACGGAAAGCCACAGGCTCCACGACCAAAGGTTTCCTGTCCACACTGACCGAAGCTGCGAGCTCAGCATGCTGCACGGCACAGTAGGTGCATCAACATTATTCCAGCCCCTGCTAGAGTGTCCTGGTCATCACCAAACCACGGGCAAGATCCAGGACATCTGCAAGCTTTGGGTGAGTCTTAACCACAGGGATTCCCCATTTCAGCTGCAGAACCCCCACGCTGGAATAGGGTCCGATAGCAACGCAGGCACGAAGGTGGGAATTTTCACGTTTGTAGGTCTCGGGCCATAAAAGCCCCAAACTAACCCTCATCCTCCTGTAACATTATTAAAAGTCTTACTGCAGGAAGCAGGACACTGTAGTGGGAAAAAACGCAGAAGTTTTGGGATGCACTTTGAACTATTTATGCTCACAAAGCAAACCTCCAGCTAAGTTAGCTGGGCTGCAACAGCCTGGCTGCAGGCAGCTGGGACGTTTTACACCCTAACAAAAGGCCACAGGCCAGCCCCTCATCAAGGCAACCTCATATCCTAAAGCTTCTTAAATTTAACAATAATCTGTGCTCAAGACCATCTGCACAGAACATCTAAGAAACTTCATGAATTAAATCCTTTTTAAGATGTTCTCACCACCTCGGCTGTTCCTGGGGTGTGCTCCAAAGAGGATTGCGGTGCCCTTTTTCTTTGCATACCTCCACCAGGTCAACCGAGAAGCTACCATACAATGGACATTATTCTGGAGATTATTGCAGCTGAGCAGCAGAAAACATTTCTGGTGCTACCCCCTCCCCACCCCCCGGTACGTTCAGGTGATGCCCCTGGAAGGGACACGCAGCCTCTTTGAACACGGGCTGGGAGCCCTTTCGAGGCCAAGCTACAGCAAAGAGCCAAGCTGTGCAGCTCCCACTTCTTGCAAACATTGTTTCTCCCACTTACCACACACACCAAAAAAAAAAAAAAAAAAAAAAAAAAAAAAAAAAAAAAAAAAATCAATTTTTACAGTTTCCCATAAAGGGAGTGTTTTACAACTCGGTCTTAAAACAAAACATTGTATTTTCATGACACAATCTTGACTTGGTGCTACAAAACCTACCATTTGCCTTCTGAAACAAGAGAGCTTTGTGTCGGGGAAGGAGGTGGAGAAGGAAAATGCAATTGCAAAGGGATTTCCCTCTCCTCCTTCCCCAGGACAGAGGGGAAGGAAAGACAATGGTAAAACTCCCTCCCTCGAAGCACCCACCTGGATTCTGACAAATGTGGGCTGCCCATGGAAATACCTTGCTTCACAAAAAAAAAAAAAAAAATTAAAAAATCCTGCCCCAGCCCTATCCCGTAGCGCTATCATGCGCTGAGGCCACAAGATGAGCCAGGAAGACCCCGGGAAGGAACCGGGCTTGTTGTGGTGTGCACCGACTGCTCTGCCAGCCCTCCCGACCCCCTCAACGTTAGTCATGCCCAGGGGACCTGCTGCTAGACAAGGTTTTTCACCCCAGCACAGAGAGAAAAAAAAAAAAAACAACAACAAAAAAAAAAACAAACCACACACAAAAAAAAAAAAAAAAACCCACACAAAACACCACACAACAAAAAGACATGCACCAGTATAGAAAACTTCCCATTCCAGCATCACACACACACTCCCCCCCAGAAATCACTGGTGGGTAAGGGAGAGGCAGCTTAGGGAAATGACAGTGGTTGGCAAGAGGGTGCTAACAGCACCCCAGAACTGCTGTCACGGGACCGGGTTTGGATTTGCCCTTCCCATGAGGAGTCCCCATAGGAGAGTCCCGGGCTGCGCCCCAGCCAGCTCTGCTATTCACCTGCAGACAGGCAGCACATCACCCTGCCCTCCAGAGCCTTGTATCCAGCCAAATAACCCCCCCCAGCTCTGCTTTTCCTTCTCCCTTTTCTTATTATTTTTTTTTTTTTTTTTTTTTTTGTAAATAAAAAGAAGCCTTGTCTTTTCTATCAGCAGCCTTATTTATTTCCTTTTGGACATGTCTTTATTACCAACACCACAGATTTTTCTTATTTTCCCAATTAAATGCCAGTAATTAAGCCCCACACCTTTACTTGTAATTGCAAGCGAGGGTGGGATATTATTCACCTCTGTGTAGCATCCAAAAATAGTGGATCAGAACAAAGGGGCTGGTGCTGGGTAGCTCAAACTGAGGAACACCACCGGGGGAAAAAAGCTATCTCTGCCACAAAGATTATACAGCTGAAACACCCCAAGAAACCCCAAACTTTGTGAGTTAAAAGGATGGGTAACGTAATTTGGCTGGCAGGTTTTAATATGGACCAGACTCTTGAAGTTTGAGTATTTTTTTTTTTTTTTAAATAAAGACTCCGGCAACGACTCTAGGCAGTTCAAAGCTAAAGAAGTCTGGTAGATATGCACCGGGGTCAGTATTTGCGGTGGTCAGGAAAACATTTATTTAAATAAAAGAGGAGTGCAGATTTTGTCAGAAATTAAGGAAAAAAGGAACAAGCCAACGGGGGGTGGGGGGATCTCAAAGGGTTTCCTCAGGAAATAGAAAGAAACCGCTCGAGGTGAGTTTGTCATTTGCAAAAGCTGTTTTCTCATTTAATATATTTTTTTGAAGGGATTAAAACCAACCAACCAACCAACACAACAAAAAAAAACAACCCCCCAAAAAAAAACCCAAAACCAAAACCTCTCTCACAGCAGTTTAGTCCCGGTGGGCCGGGGTCAGAGCCGCCCGCCTCTCCCCACGCGGGCTGCAGCGTGGGACCCCCACGGACCCCCAGCACACACACACGCACACCACACCCCCCCCCCCGCTTTTGAAGAAGTTCAGCCCCGGCTCGCCCGAGAAACTTTGCCGCTTCTCACCGCCTCCTCCTCCCGAGCCCAACTCAAAACCAGAAGCGAGGATGGGTTTGGGGACGGGGCTTGCTCTTTCGGGGGGCAGGACAGCAGATAACACCACACATGGGGGTTTTTTTATTATTTTTTTTTTTTTTTTTTTTTTTGCTCAAAGGGAGAAAAGTTGGGCTCTGTCATTGAAAACCACCGCGCTGAACGTACTCCCCCCCCCCCAAAAAAAAAAAAAAAAAACAAACAAACAAAAAAAAACAAACAAAAAAAAAACCAAACCACGACATAATAATGATGACAGCGCTCACCCCAGAAGTTGTCCCCTTGGTGAAAGCAAAGAACGGAGATTTGGGAAGGAAGACGGCGCGCAAAGCCGCGGTGGGAGGGGGGTGGGGGGGGGATGCCAGCGGCTCCGCGCCCGGGCACCCTCCCCCCCTAAATAAATTAAACGCGGATTAAAGAAAACTCGCGGGGGTATATACCTGTGGCGGCCGGTCCTGGTCCCGGTGTCAGCGGCGACCCCCCATGATGCTCCCCCCCCCCCCCCGCCGCCCTGCCAGCCGAGTGAGCCGCCGCGGGAGGAGGAGGAGGAGGAGGAGGAGGAGGAGGAGGAGGAGGAGGAGGAGGAGGAGGAGGAGGAGGAGGAGGAGGAGGAGGAAGGGGTGGGGAAGGAGCCCGAGCGGCGGCTGATGCGGGCGGCGCAGCGCCCCTTGCCCAGGTAACGGGTATTTCAGCGCCGGCTCCACTGAAAACACCCCCCCCACCCGGGACTCCCAGTGCGGCAGCCAGCCCCCCCCAAACACCCCAAGTCTCAGCCCCCGGGCTGGCGGGGGGCACCCCCGAGCCAGCGGTTGCCTCTTCAACTTCAGCCCGAGGCAGGCACTGGCCACATGAAGTTGAACTCAGACTCTTTAGTTTTAATTTTTTGGGGTCATTATTAATTTTTTTTTTTTTTTTTTTTTTTTTTTATTTCCCCCCACACCACACCCCCCCCCGCCCTTTGTGTGAGAGCGGCTGGCAGGCCTGCGGAGCACGTAAATCATACATGAGCGGGAAAGCGATACGGGCAACGCTCTCGCAGGCACACCAGGACATCCGCATGGCAATTATTCCTCCCCAGCTCCTCTTCCTCGGAGCCTTGGCTTTTACAGAACCGGTTTCCACCCAACCCTCCCCATTCCTACCACCTCCAACCCCCGGGCCTCCCAGTTTGCCTAAACCCCGCAGAACATCGCTGGGCAAATCCCTGCACCCAGTCCAAGCCCTCCTTACAAGCAGTTTTAGGGGAGGCAGCCAAATCCCACCACTTTACCCTCTTTCTTGCCTTCTCGGGGGCACCAAAGCCACGGAAAGCAGCCTGCAATGACACCAGTCCCCGCACCGAGGGGGTGACACAGCCCCCAGCAGCACCCCAACCCCAGGAGGACCAGAGGTTTGGGTTGTGCCTGCGTAGCCCAGCACTTACAGCTTGGAGGAGTTTTACCTGCCTGCCAGACCCCATCCCAAGCCGCTTTAATTAAAACACTAAACAAGTGCAGTTTGTGCTCCTAAAGCCCCTCTGGAGCCCTGCCTGGAAATGGGGAGGGGGGGGGCTTCCCATCCTACTCACCTTTGCCTCCCTCCTCCCGCAGCAGCGGTGGGCAAAGGCCTCTGCAGGAGCCAGGAGGGGATAATTAAGCCCTCGCCTCTCTTGAGCAACTTCTGATAATTATGCAATTACCACAGCTCCTGGGCTGCTTGATTGGAATTGGGCAGAGGGCTGCTCTTGGTACCTCACCTCAGCCCTGGGAAGGGGGGGGGGGTTCTGAGGCAGCTTCATCAGCACAAGGCAGCACATACGCAGCCAGGATACCTGTGCTGTGCTGATCCCAGCCGTGCCCGTAAAGTCAGGGAACTAATTAGGAGGGGGAAAAAAAAAAAAAAAAAAAAAAAACAACAACAAAAAGAAGGGGGGAACCAAAGCAAAACCATATGTTAAGCAACTTGAAGATGCATTTCAGGCCTGGTTGTTGTCTGTAGCCACTCTGACTTTGCCCAAGTGATGTCTCACTTAATGACTCTCATGATAAATTCAGGTCAGTGTTTCTATTTAAATAGAAACACAACCTCTCCTCTGCTGAACCACTGCCCGGTTCCTACGCCTTGGCTTTACACCACGGCTTTCAGCATGCGAGATCACATCCTGACCAGTTTGAAGACCTGTCACCTATTTTACGTAAGTCAGCTCTAACGAAGCTGAGCTCCTCCTGGCCTATGGGTCTGGCTTGGACTCCTGGTCCAATTCCCAGAGGAGCCCAGGCTGCAGCCTTCCCCATTGCGGGGCAGGGGGAGGACTAGTGGGATTTCACTGCCTAGGTTCACAAAACCCCGCCAAGGAATTCAGCATCTTGTGAGCTGCATCTCCCTGCCAAGCTTCGTTGAAATCGGGCAGCGACAGCAGTAACTGTGTGCAGGCTGGACCTCAAACCAACTGACTGACTTGACGTTCCCAAGCTCCCGTTTGAAGGAAGCAACATCACCCTGAGACACAGCCCGGGGGGGGGGGTGGGGGGGATGCACCTTCGCAATTGCCTTGGAACGAGCTCATAGCTGGGGCCAAAAAGGGACCAAAATGAAGTAATGCATTGCAAGCAGAGGGATGCTCCCAGTCGCCACTGGGATCGGAGGGACCACAATTAGTGCTGACCCTACAAGGCAGGGAGCACGGTGGCTAGCAGGAGGGCTAGGATAACCTCCCTGCTATCCCGGCCTTTCTCCACAGGCTCATTACTGGGAAACCTTATTTTTTTTTTTTTGAGCCAGATCCCGTGACCTCCCCTCTCCATTGTGCCTGCGAAAGCGGAGCAGCTAGTCAGAGCCTTCGCAACCTCCTGGCACCACTCACTCAACCTTGAAATTGTACTGCAGGGATTCTCCCCCTCTCATTTTCTACCTAACCACAGAACATTTCTCCATCCAACTATCCCCACGGTGTACCACTCCTCTCTCTGCCTTCCCTGGCCCTTCTGCTGCAAGATGTGGGAGCGTCGTTCGTCTCTAAATCTTTAAAGAGATGAAATACCACATGGAAAGCAGGTAAAATGCAGGCACGTGCAAAACCCTGCCTAGCTAAGGTACTGAATCATTTCTCCTTGCCACGGACCATGTACTGCCGTGGACCCCAGGGTCTGCATGGACATCAGCTGCCTGACAACCAGTGCGTGCAATATTACACTGTCACTCATTTCTTCACGCCTCCTTTTCCCCAGGAGTCTCCCACAAGGATCCCTTGATGTGCTTCCCCAAACTACCATCTTTTTTCAGTAAATAAAACCCATGCAAAAGTGCAGGAGGGCTTTTTGCTGAGGAAGAAGCAGCCCATGACCCCTGCTTTCACTTCTCGGGGGACACGGTGATTTTGTGCCGTGTCTGTGTGTGCCCCCCCCCCCCCCCCCCCAAAAAAAACCACAAGCCCCTTGGGGATGGTGGGATCCTCCACTGCTCACGGCTTTCCAGGACCCCACACCGCACTGTGGGTTGGGATGGCAGCACAAGGGAGGCAGCTCCCCCCCATCACTACCCTCTCACCTGAGTTGCAGAATTAATTTGTACAGCAGGCGCGGGGTTTTCTTTTTGACCACCTGTGCTGCGGCCGATGGTGAGCCAGTTTTTCCGGTGTGAAATTAATTTCCAGGTCCATTTCACACAGAATTTTAAGGCCAATATTAGGATCACGCTGTTTGTTTAGGAATTTATAAGTGAAGGAGGTTGGAGAGGAATCTGAGCAAAGTTAAAGGGACTGCTCTCTCTGTAGAAGAAAAGTGCTGAGAGAACAGCTGGTTTCTTTTTTTCCTTCCGAAATATAGGAGTACTGCGTTTCAAATCGCGTCTAGTCCATATGGAGGGTAAAGCAAATGTGTTTAAAGATGATGGGAAGGGCAGGAGCTGGGCACACATTTGTAGCACACGCCCAACTCGCGTGGCATCCTTCATCAGGGCTCTGCCAGCTCACATTTAGAGGAGGGTCCAGCTGAGCTACCTCGGGACTGAGCATCCCCATCTGGGCCAGGGCAACAGGGACTAGGTAGCCAGAGCTGCAGCATGGTGTTAACGTGCAACCAGAAAGATCAATGTGTGAGCTCCAGAAAGCCTTGTAGGACCACCCCGAGGAGACCTGGCCAAAGCCCTGAAGCTCTGCCCTTTGCAGACCCCGAAGCAGCTCATTTCCAAAATGCAGCATCTCCCCTTATAGCCCAAGCTGTACTCATGGAAGCGGGCAGGACGTGTCCCCTGCTAAGGACACTGAGAGCGCCCAGCAGCCCCTGGCTGCACTTGTTATATTCAGAAGGGGTTAATGAGGATTAAAAAAAAAAAAAAAAAAAAAAAAAACCAAAAACAAAAATCACCAAACCACCTTCATACCAACTCTCTGAGCAGCTGGGGGTGCTTTTCAGTGGCTTTTGAAATAGCTCTCGGTGTAATTTCCTACTGATAGGGAATGTCAGAAAATTTGCAGAGTAGTGACTGTTTGGTGATGATGGTGACAGGCAATCTTGAGCAAGATCAGTTACGGTGGGAGGAGGACAGCTTTGGGAACCAGGTCCTTTACTCCCCGGGGGATGACTACCCTGAGTCACTTCACGCACCAAGAGCATCTTTCTCTTAGCTTTGAGTTCTACCTTACCGGCCAGTTTGGGATTTTTTCGCTTAGCTTTAGTTTCCTCCTCAGCAGAGGCAGAGTAAAAGGTGCCATCTACAGGCACAGCATCCACATGGCAGCCCCTCGGATCATCCTTGCCCCTGCCGGGCTGGATGTGGCCCATGCCCCGTGTCCTTCCACTTGCTTTGCCACCCGAGGTTGCTGCTGCCTGGAACCTCGGAGAAGCCACAAGTGCTGAGGTCGCAGGAGGTGATGGTGGTGGTGGTGGGCCCCCATCCCTGCGTGAATCCCCCAAGCAGTGACACCTCTCATCCTCCCCAGTCCACTTTTGGGGGTCAGGGACTACCCAAAACGCTAGGCTGAGTAGAAGATGATACCCCCCCAACACACACACCTTGGCCAGATCCTGGGCACCCCTGTGGGTAACCTTGATGGTAACCCAGGGGAGCACTGAGACAAAAACACAAGGGAAGGTGATGGCCATTTGCACAGCTGGGAGGGAGTAAGCAAAGGGGACGTAAAGTAAATTTGCTCCCACAGTTGCCTCGCGGGAAACCTGGATGCTGCTCACCCAGCATCCCAAATTGCAGGCCCATGGGTCTCCTGAGCTGCTCAGGCCCACGTCATGCTCCTCTTCTGTGTTGCTTTGCTCTTCCAGTCGCCTCTCATTTAATCCATTTTGGCCCGTAATTTAAGGAGGTAAGCCAGGAAAAGAAGAAACTGTAGGAAGAAGTACAAATAACACCTCATAAATTCTCCTCTGCGTGACTACAGGATAGTGAGGAGTGACTCCTGACCTGCTGGAGTGAGGGTGCATGCAAGGGAACACAGGCTCAGCATGGACGTGCTTGCACTTTGCCTGTGAAGAGCTGTTGCTGCTGTTTAAGGTCAAAAATGAGGCTAGCAGGTCTCCGAGGTGCTGCATTTAAAATGGGAGCCAGGTCCTGGAGATAAAGATCCGAAAGGCCAACCACTCGTTGCTGTGGAAGCTCCCAAGGCTGCCCCCCAGGAGAAGCCCAGGGGAGCTCTACCAACCTCGCCAAGCCGAGGGCTCGCCAGAACGGCAGCAAAAAGGAGGTGCCAAAGAGCAGAGCCAACGCCAGGCGCGGGCACCCGCTCCTCGTACGCAGCCGCGAGCCTGGAGCTTGCTCCCCCTTTAAAGCCCCTTCTCAAACCCAAGCCTTCTGCTTCATATTAAAAGCATTTGTCAAAGCAGACGCTCCATCCTGCGCTGTCGGGTACCCGAAGCTGTGCAGCGCAGAGCGAGGAGGGGTTACAAAATCTGGAATGGAAGCTGAGCTGGAGGGGTGTGTGTGTGCTGTGTGCACCCCATCCATCACCAAGCAGGGATGGCAGAGGGAGAAGACCCGCCGGCATGCTCAGCTTTGCCCAGCCTGCTACGGGCACGCTGGAATGTGTGCTCAGCCAGCCCCAGATACTCTACCCCCCCACACCATGGTGTGATAAATTAGGAGGAAAACTTTCTCAGTTCAGTTTGTTCTCACAGTGCCGTCCAACAGAGCACAAGCCTGTCTAATCAGAAGCTACAGTCCTTCACCATCTGTTTAGAGCCTAATTACAAATGCAGAAAAATAATGTGCTTTACAATTGCACCAGTAAATGCTGTAAATGATTTAAATGCATGCATATGTTCCCTGCAGAATTCAGCATGCATCTGCGACTTCTTCTTCTCACATTAGGCACACAAATCAAGGGAAAAAATACCCAGATCTGATGAACAGCATGTCCCTAGGATGGTGATTTTTATCCCTTTTTTTCCCCCCGCTGGAATGGCAAACAGGGCTTTTTTGTAACAATTCATTCAACAGCGTTTTCTTCGCTTCCATTTTAAAAACTGTTTATCACCGTCGTGTAAATATAGTACAAATTACTCCATAAAACATGTAAAAGGAGAACAGCAGCCGGGCAAGCCTGCAGCTGGCTGGCAAGGTTTCAAAGCCAAGTTTTTTGGTTTGTTTTTTTTTTTTTTTTTCCTCTGGGGCGCCTGCAGAGGGGCAGGATCAGCCCAGCTCGTGTGCTGGGGAGCGTGGCCCTCCCCGAGCCCCCCGCCAAAGACGAGGCCCGCCAGCGTTTCGAGCCCTTGGCTCACATGCCCGTTTTCAGGAGGGTGCTCACCGCAACGCCGCAGAGGTTGGCAAGCTTCAGCCCCGCGCGGGCAAATGTGCGAGAAGGGGAGAAAGGGCCAAGAGCTAAAATACATCGAAAATACCTTTTCTGTGGCTGCAGAGGGGAAAGAGGCAGCATTTCAGAGGGGCAGGGGTCAGAGAGCATCACCTCGTCTGTGGCGGGGTGACGGCTCTCCGCACGCTGCCCGAGCAGCTGAACAGAACCAGGCACTGCCCGGGGACCCCACTGCCCATACAAATGAAGCTGTCACAGGGCGGTAATTAAGAATGGGGTCATGCACGCTGGCCCCTGCCTGGCCACGGGGACCACCAGAGCTCGTTAGGAGCTTTGTCGGGATGCTGGGGACAAGCACGGATGCAGACACGCAGGGATGCTCCGTGCTGCCGGGTACCCCAGCAGCCCCCCACTCGCCCAGTCAAGCCACCGAAGGCAATCCCACTTCAGCTGTCTGGGCTTTTGAACTGCGGTGCATCCCAGCAAACCACTGGAAGGATGAGTCCTGCCCCAGAACACATACAGTGGAGAAGCTGAGAGGCAGCAGATCTTCTCTTTGGACACCACCAAGGCAATGCTGAAGGATGACGAGGTTGTTTCAAAGACGCTTCCATCTCCCAGAGGGTTATAATGCTGCACCAAAGACTCGATAATGCAAAGGCTGGTAACACAGGTGGAGAGGTGACAGCATTTCTGCCCCGTGGGGCACTCCACCGAGTGGGGACAGGCTAGACGGGGCTTTGGAGACGACAGAGAAAGAGGGAAAGTCACTTGCAACTGATGGGAGATGACTATCACTGCAGAACAAAAGTTTCTTTTCCCTAGAGCCTGCTTGCGTTTGCTTTAAAGCCCCAAATACTTACACTTAAAGGCTGCAGCTCTGAAGCAGGGAGAAGCAGCGGGCACTGCTAAGCTGAGAGAGACAACAAGAAAAGGTCGAGGATAGGCTCAGTTAGTCTCCTTTGAGCAGAAGCTGCAACAGATGCGTCCCCTCTGCTTTCTGCCCTTTCATCCAGCCCCCCTCCTGCTCCCTGCACTCTCCTGTCTTGCCGGTGTTGCTTTGCCAGTTCACAGCTTTCATCTCCCCTCGGCCAGTTGGATTTAACACCAAAAGCCGTTGGATAAGCCAGCATGGAGCAGGCGCAGCATCCTGAGCACACCGGGCTGCCAGCCCTCCGCAGAGCTGGGGGAGCACGGGGGGCTCGCCGTCCTCCGGGTCATTTTGCCAGTGATGCTGGCCCCGAGCACTGGGCAAAGGGTGGCCCTGAAACTTGGCACCGTGCAGGGATTTCATGCCCATCTTTGATTGTGTTTCAACTTCGCAGGCCCACCCTCATGAATTTTGCAAGCGCCTGCCATCGCTCATTTTACGTCCACCGGTGAGATGAGGCCAAGCCCTGCAGAGAACATGCGGTCCTTCCCCCGCTGGCCAGCTCACAGACCGCTTCCCTCGCCTGGAAGATGGTGAAAACATTTACAACCCTGCTAGTCTCTTTTAAGGAGCTGAGGGGGTGGTGTTAATTAAGGACAGAAAATTTGGCAACACCGTTTTGGACAGGCGAGGAAGACCCATGGACCCAAGCTCAGCTCCCAACCCTGCCCATAGCTGAGATCTCCCTCTGGACCTCAGGTGTCCCGGGTCCTAAGAGCCAGGAAGCAACTCCCTCTTGCAAAGCTCTTCGAGACCTAGAAGAAGAAAAGTGTCATTGTCCTGGGTTGAGTGAGTGGTGGAGTTTTTTGGTGGCAGGGGAGGGGGCTATCGGGGCGGCCCCCTGTGAGAAGCTTCTCGAAGCTCCCCCAGCTCCACGTCAGATCCGCTTCTGTTTGGGAAATTGAGCCAATCGGCTGCGCCTCTGCGATAACGTATTTAAGAAGGGACGTGGTGATGGGCAGTGGGACTTGTGAGGAGGAGTTGCTGCAGCTGCATGAACACCAAGGTCAGTGGAGGAACGGAGGAAGAAAGGAGGGGGGAGGTGTGCCGGAGCAGAGACCCCCCTGTATCCTGTGGTGAGACGGCAGGGCAGCCCCCCCCTGACACCCATGAAGATCTACGGTGGAGCAGACATTGATTTATGGCCTGTTGCTCCTGCGTAGATGATCAAGGTTCTGTGCCCGAAGAAGGCCGGGGTCTCATGGGAAAAGGCAGCCCCACTGCTGTAATTCAGTGCTGGGAGGATTGCAGCATGTGGGGGAGTCCCACGCCGGAGCAGCTCGGGAAGGGCTGCAGCCGTGGGAGGGAATCCAGTCGGAGAAAGTTAGTGACCCATGACGGAGCAGTGTGGGGAACGCTGCGGCCCATGGGAGGAATTCAAGTCAGAGAAAGTTTGTGGAGGACTGTCTGCTGTGAGAGGGGGACCACGATTGAGCAGGAGGAACAAGTTTTGGACACTCCCCTCACCGAAGATAAGGAAAGTGGCAGCACTGACTGCACCCCCCATTCCCTGCCCCTGCGCCACTGGGGGAGGAGGTAGAGATATCGGGAGCAGAGCTGAGCCCGAGAAGAAGGGAGGGGTGGGGGGAAGGTGTTCTCAAGGTGTGACAATGCTTCTCACTGTCCTACCCTGTTATGTGTTGTTAGTGACTGTAATAAATGTATGTTCTTTTTTCCTTCCCCTAACGAGTCTGCCTTTTGCTCGTGATCATAAAAGGGGGATTTTTTCCCCATCCCAGTCCTGTCTTGAACCCCAAGCCTGGCTCTCTGCCCCTTCTCATTGCCGGAGGGGATGGGAGAGAGAGCTGCTGCATTGTGGTTGGCTGCCAACCAGGCCTAAACCACAACAGTCATCTCCTGGCTAAATACCATGAAGTAGGCTTTGACCCCCTCGATGCTGGCATAGAGCAGGGACCCCATATCATTCCTGAACTGGAAACGGGTCGATGGCTGCATTCCTTGTCAAAGATACATTAGTTAAAACCATCAAGAAGTAAACCGTGGTTGCATTTTGACTAACACATCTGAGAGACAGCAGCCTTCATTCTGCCTTGCAACCGCCGTTTCCCTTGTCATTCTGCATCTTCTTAACCTCGAGCTGTTCGGTACGGCCTGCACAGATCAGCAGATGCAATTGCGCCCAGGCGGTATACAGCAGTAATTACTTCCTTGTCATTATATGCAATACCCTATAAATTAGCCATCCCATTTTGCAGGTGGGTCACCTGCACGCTCGTGGCTCAGGCTGCCTGTCAGCACCCATCCCCATACCACAGAGCTCCCACCAGCAGTCCCTGCTTTATACCCAGACCTGATTCTTGCCCAAGTTGAACCCGTATTGATTTTTCCCCTCATGTCTCTTAACTTTCCTTAGCTGAATACCATCAAAGACAGAGGATAAATTCCCTTTTTGCTTGCTTCCCCCTGCAGATGTAGTAAGTATGCTCTGCACACCTATCTGCAGGTCATTTGGAGATATTAAATTACAATAACTGGGCTCTCAAAGCAATTCTTTTGGGGCTCCTTCACCCAGCCCTTGTCAGTGATTTCTCCGAATTTACAATCCAAGTTGGGAGAGGATGACCAGAAGGAAAAATGCAAGCTAAAACTGCATGCATCAATGCATCGCCAAGAGAAATCACTCCAGACACCAGCGGCTGCACAGTATCAAGAATTAACTTTATTAGCAACGGTACGGGATAATTAAGTTCTGTCTCAAGAGGTATTTGGTCTGTAACACGAGGGAGAAGATCAGCAGAGGTGCAAAGCAATCAGAAAACAAGCAGAATGTCGTCGTACCTGGGACCGGGGGAAAATGTATGAGTTGAGAAGAGCAGACCCCACGGCACGCTCTCAAGTGGGAAGCACTGAAGGCCACAAAGAGACGTTTGGTTGCCAACGAGGTTGGCTGGGGCTTTTCAGCCACCACTGACTTACCCCCATGAGCAGCACCCAGCCGGCTGGCCAGCACCGCTGCCCTCCGCCCTCGGGCTGCCCTTCAAGCTGAGGTGGACCTTCACCCGGGTCAACGGTGGCCAAAGTAGCCCCTGGCCAAGCCGTGGGGGCTGAAGGGCTGCAAACCTACCCAGGCAATGGGATTAAGAGCCCGCACGTGCAAAGCCACGTGCTGTAAAGTACCTGCACACCCTGCCAATTTTCCACTCGTGTCTGGATTTTACATTTAGATTAAAAAAAACAGCCGTAAAGCAAAACTGCGCCTGTATTGCCAACGAGTCCACACTAAACACTGGGAAGGATTTGTATAAAAAAAAAAAAAAACAACACCCACCAAGCCTACATGTCGCCCCGTGGCAAGAACCACGGCCAATCCTGCTGTTCTCCCAGCAAAGCCAGGGCGGCCGTGGGTGGAAAGGCACCAGCCCCGCACCCTCCCTCCCGCTAGCCTCCACATCCAGCACAGCAAGGAGATGGCCTGGCAACCCGGACCAGCAGCTTCACCGCTACTCGGTCAAGCGGCAGATGCCGAGAGAACATCCCACTACTAGAGCATCTGCTAATAATCCAGCCTTAAAGGAAATATTTTCCATAGATGGCAGCCCTGAAGCTGCAAAGCCAAGTTATGCCATTACATCCATGCTTACCAGTCCACCCCTCCTCAGTCATAAATCCACCCGGTTTAAGAAAATAAATACAATCATTGCATTTAGTCCAGGCTGTGTTTGCATATGGAAGCTTAAGTGACTTTAAAAACCAGTCAGTCCTCTTCGGGTGGGCCGTATTTTTGGGTGTCACAGCAGCTCACCCCTCTGAAAACATCTGGAGACCATTTGCCGCCTGTCTATGCAAATTAATCAGCTTTCTGATGTGAACATCACGCGAGAGCTTCTCTAAGACCTCTCCCTGGCACAGAGTGAAGGCACCTTAAAAACCTTACGTTAGGACCACTTAGCATTTCGCATTCCTTGGGGCTGAGGTGAGTTGGTGTCCACAACCGTCACACAGCGGTGACAGCAGGAGAAATGGTCTCAGGTTGGCCATGACATAATGCCCCAGGACTAGCAGCACCGTGCTGTGGGGTGGATGATCCCTTAATTCAATCTTATCTGGAAAAATTAAAGCAAGCAGAAGTCCAAGTGGAGCGGCTTCCCTTCTATAGGCTTTTGGGGGGCATGAATGTATGAAAAAACCCCCGAAATGGTGCCCTGCTCCCTGGAGTGGCTGCTGTCCACTCCCAAAGCTTGCCTGAAGGTGCTCCAGGGCTCAAATCCCCTTTAGCTCAACACCACCATCACAGCTTGACGAAGGGGGATCTCCCCGAGACCACCGAAACACTGCAGGGCCAAACTCGTAACAATGAGGCAGCAAAACCCAAGGTGCCATCAAAAGCCTCGATTTCAGCTTAAAACCAGCGCGGTGGCACCAGCAAGCCGCCCTTGCCCACTGGCACTGGGGTGAGGGACAGGTTTCCCTGTGCTCTCAATGCTTCCCTGAGCTCCCTGGGGAGAACAAAGCTTTTTTGGTCCATTTGCTCTGGTCAAACTGGGGAGTGACAAATATCCAGCAGGACCTCCCAAGCACAGGGGACACCCCTTCCCAGAAGGGCTTTCCCTTGGACACAAATCCCACCCCCCCTCCCCGGTCCGAGACAGACAGCCTGCCCCAAAACCACGGCGTGCCTGGCTTTTGGGGGGAAAAAGCCCTAAAATACCCGACAGCAGCACCTCAAACCAAGGGCATCCCTCCCTGCCTCGGCTGCTCCTCTACACGAGGTGGACAATGAGAATGGAGCAGGCGGAGCCCACAGCCAGCCCCAACATGAGGTAAAATGTCATCACCACCCCCGCCGCCTCGGCCAGCTCTTTTGGCACGATCTTGGGGCCGTAGACGATGACCAGCGTCCCCAGGTAACCGTTGCTCAGCCCCAACAAAGCCGTGAAGATCACCGGGTAGACATCTTGGTTGAAGACCACCCTCCGGATGCGAGCCCGGGGTTGGTAGTTGCTGAGGATGAAGAGAGGGAGGAAGACGGTCCTGAGGAGGACGAGGACGGGCAGCAGCTTGCTCTTGGGGCCGGGCGCCTGGATCCAGGCGGTGACCTGCCTGCCGCACCAGTCAGCAAAGTTGTACAGGAGGAAACTGGTGAGCGGCGCAAAGTACTTGGTGCTCCACAGGCTCCCCGAGGACTTGCTGACCGACTCGATGTTGGAGGACAAAGAAGGGAAGATGATGATGGAAATGAAGAAGACATAGAAGAGGCAGAAGCCGAGGAGGGCGGTCTTCTGCAGGATGGGGCGGAGCGGGGGGATGCCAGTGCTTTTTGTGAGGAAACGGGTATTTGTGGTGCCTCCTGGCTCTGCCTCATCCTCCGCAGAGCTGTCAGGCGGCGCCGTGGCCAGAGATGGGCTCTCCTTCTGGCTGCTCATGTAATACCTAGGAAAAGGAGAAGGGGGGGAGATGATTAGCCAAGCGTGTGTGTGAGGAAAACACAAATGAGGATTTGGAGAGGGAGCAGGAGAGAAGTTGGCGACACAGGGATGTCTTCGCTGGACCAAGCGAAGGCAGTTGCGGCGACCCCACTGCACCTCCAGCTCCTGCCTTGTAGAGAGAGAGGTGACCCTCAGCAACCCACCGCCCCCTCCCCACCACGGGGGTCCCTTTACACCCTCAGTGGTTCACAGGGGGAGCCTGCAGGCATGGGAGGGGGGGGGCAGGTAGTTTTGGGGGTTGCAAGCACCAACAAGACCAACGGGTCACGCACGTCAGTGCGTGATGTTGCAGATAGGGGTGCCCTACGGGAACCCCCCCTGGCTGGCTGCTTCCAGATTACAGCTCTCTGCTGATTTCATGCATTTCAGAAGCCCTGGTGTCAGCACCCCTCTCCCCCCAGGGAGCCTTGCCAGAAACTCAGCGCACGCCGGGGCGGGTGCCCAGTTTCAGTCTGTGGTTTTGGTCAGATGGGGAAGCACAACACGGCGCCGGAGCACGTGGGGTGCAGGGTGGGATCCCGGGGGAAGGGGAGGGGTGACCGGGCAGGGACCGGCACAGCAAGCACCCCATGGGTCCCCCCCCCCCAGCGATCCCACTCAGCACCAGTAGCGGCAAACCCTCCCGCCCCGTGGCTGTGGGATGCCCGTGGCAGGCTGGTGCACACACCTGGAGTACTCCAGCCTGGGAAGGAGGAGGTACACCATGATGCAGATGACGATGAAGATGTCGGCGGTGAGGAAGTAGGCCAGGGCGCTGTCTGTAACATCGGCTGCTGCCGCCAGGTCTATGACGGAGGCGACGGCGCTGATGGTGCCCCCCATGGCCTGACCTGTGCAGGGGACCAGAAAGCCGGAGCTCAGCACCCAGAGCCGAGCCAGCCTCACCGAGGTGGGCGCGGGACATCGAGGGGGCAGAGAGCAACCCACAGCACCTCCAGCGAGGACTCTGATGTGGAGGGGGAACCCAGAAACAGCAGCATCCTCTTATTAACACCTCCCGGCGCGCGCAAACCCCCCCAGGGGAAGCAGCTCACCCCCGTGCCCCCCCATGCCAGTCCTCAAACCCGGCTCAGAGTGCAGCTGCACACACCACCTCATCTCCATTTCCAGGCTTTGCTGCAACACAGCTATCTGTGGGGCTGCGTGGCAGCCCAGGTCCCATCCTGCATCCCCCTTCCAACACAGCTGCAGCACTGCGCAACGGTCAGGATGGGACCCTGAGCTTGCGTGTGCTGAGTTCCGTGGAGAAGGTTCAAACCCTGCCCAAAGCCTAAACCTGGCTTTCCACCAGCACACACATAACCACCTCTCTTCTGCACTCCCCCAGATGGGAATTCAAGCCACCGGCAACAGGTATGCCATCCTGGGGATGTGGCGATATCCCCCCCCCCCCCCGGGCTAAACTCATTAAAACACTCCTGTCTCAGCCCTGGGAAGAATTTCTCTGTCTTGATTTTTTCTCCCCCTTCCCCTCCTGGGTTGTCAGCCGTTTCACAGCACATTTATAACGTTACCAGCCCTCCAGGGAGCTCATCACTCATGGCTCCCAACGTGCCCCTCATCACTCATGGAAACGCTGAACAGAAAGGAGGAGACAATGCAAAGCTGAAGATCCCTCCAGCTGCAAACAGAGGAGCTGAGGGGTGTATCTCTTCCCCCCCTTTCTCCCTGCACAGAACAAACAACAGGTCAAGCCGTCACGCTGGCTGAGGCTTCTCTGCAGGGTGTTTGCCCCCCCTGGGCAGGGATGGTGAAGGACCTCTGCTCTCCTCACCTCTGTTGAGCCCTCGAGCCCTTCAGTTTATGGGTGTTTACAGAAACGAAAGCACCGGCTCATGGGACCGAGCATGTTTCTCCTTCAGCAACTTCCCTTTATCTTGAAGGCAAAGTTAAGTTCCTAAAATAAACTCCCATGTGATGAAATGCCAGACACAGGAGGGAAAGAAAACCAACCACCCAACCACAGAAAACCCAAGAGCACGATCCCACCGGGACGGCGTGGCTGGGGGGCCACCAACCTGAGATCAGCGCCTGCAAATTCTTCATGGGGAAGAGGCTGCTCAGCCCAAAGATGCTGCTGGTGAAGACAGTCGAGGCGCTGCTGACAACAACCACGCAGGCGATGGTGAGGGCAAAGAAGCGGGTGGTCCAGGCAGAGGTGTCCACCTTCACCAGCACCGTGATCACCAGGAAGACGGCCAACATGACGAAGAGGGAGGACAAGATGCGGACGCTGGCAGGCACCCTGGGGACAAGGGGAAGGAGAGACTCCTGTGTTCAAAACCATAACGCGAAGGCGCGATGCAGAGGACACCAACTCCTCCTCTGCTGCGAGAAGGGTCGAAGAAAATAAAGGTGGGGGGAGATCAGGAATAAAACGGCAATGATTTTTCTCAGCAACCTTTAGATGTTAACCCTGCGATTTCCACTTCTAACAGCAGTAGGACTAAATCTACGAGCCCAACGGAGCTGTAAATGCCCATTTCTCCCAGAAATCAGGAGCTATCCCCATTGCTGGAGCAACGTGCAGCAAAAGCCTGCCTGGGAAACAGGCTGGGTGAAAGCAATCCCAGGCACCTCACTACAGGATAATCAGCTGTTTGAGCAGGGAGGTTGCTTATCAGCTGGCGGGGAGACTGGATGGGCTGGCCTGGGGGCAGGACAGAGGGGATGAGGGACAGAGGCAGGGAGCCGGACCGGCAGCCAGGATCTAGAGATTAAAGACACAAACACATTCCCCTTCGCCTCTACACGTGCAGGAGTTTGAGCTGGGGTAAGGAATGGTACAAATGTGGAGAGGTGGCTATTTTAGATATAAGTCAAGCTTGCAACGAGGCAGAGATGGGCCATTTCTTAACCCAGTTCAGCGGCTGGTAGGGCTAGAGCAAGGCGTTACTCCTGCCTGGATGAGCCCAGCTCTCGTCAGCCGCTCCTCCAGTGACAGGGATGGAGACATTTTTAAGAGGAAAGACCGTTTGCCAAGCAGTTAACCAAAGAATTTATTAGGAACTTATTTACAGTGGTGCAGCTCAAGCCAAATCCAGGCACGGGTGCTGCAGGCGGGGAGCAGAGCGCTTCACCCCACTTCATCTCAGCCAATTGGGATACAGGCAGGAGCAGACGAGGGGATTTTGGCCACACAGGAAGGCAGCATTCAAGATGCCCTGTGGCTTGCCCCCACAGGACAGGGAGGCTGAGCTGGGAGCCACGGCTGAAGGCGGAGGAAGGCAGGAGTGATGCAGGGAAAGCTGGGGAGAGCCGCGGCTAACGGACTCGGGAATGGAGCGACACTCACTTATTGACAAGCAAGAAGTTTCCGATCAGGCACAGCACCGAGGGCACAGTCGAAGCAATGGAGATGTAACTCTCAAAAAAGTCCTGCCGGGGATAAAAAAAAAAAAAAAAAAAACAGACCAAAAGACAACAAAGTAAAAAAGGTAGGGGAGGAACAACACGTAAATTCACGGGGAGTCATGAGGGAGGTGTCCACCTCCTTGCATTGCAGCACACCTTGCAAAGCTGCTCAGGACAACAGGCAGCAGGAACAGGCCCCCGGGGCTTTTTTTTTCCTTCAGCAGCTCTGGGATATTTCAGGAAATTAGGGCCAGAACAAATTCATAAGCAAAAAATGGTGAAGGAAATACCTGTCTCACTGCCGTATTGGCCCCATGGGGCAGCACCCGAAAAAAGGAGATCTTAATTTCTCCGGCTGGCTCCAGCATCCTGGACAAACCTATTTAACATTTTACCCTACTTTAGCTCTGTGAGGGCTGTTTTTTATAAATAAGGACACAAAAGCATTAATACTATTAGCTAACTGCCTCAAAAGCCTGAGAAGGCTAGGAAACCTGTGCGTCCCTCTCCACGCAAAGTGACCGGGACACCACGCCTGAAGACACGCTCGAGCGGGGACACAAGGACATTATTTTCCCTCCTGCATGTGCAAAACTCATTGAGAAACTATACTGAGACTCTAGACACATTTACTCCGGGGACTCGTACATCATCCAAGCAAGTCGGCTGCAGCCCCAGTCAACGCTCACGAGCCCACCTTGCACAGGGGTCAGGCTGGGCATGCGAAAAGCAATAACCACAGCAGAGAGAGAGAGATTTCTTTGCCAAGATTGCAGCCAAACGCTTCCATTTTCAGTCCATTTTATGTATTACGCTGTTAAAGTCTGTCTGCTCTCCTCCCCTCAAGGTGCTTAATCCCCTCTTTTGTCCGCAGGAATCTCAGCCAGCAGGTAGGACGATGATGCTGACAAAGAGGATGACCTACATATCCACCTCCATCGTGACGGGCTTGCATTTTCTGCAGTTACCTAGCTACAGAGACGGGGCCATGTCACGTCCAAGTGTGAGAAGGCACTTGCTACATTTATTCGGCACGTTACATATTTTTTTCTTTAGCTTTGCATGGTAGTCTTTTAATCAGTTTACAAGCAGGTTCATTTATTCTTCCCTATCAGGAGCTTTACTGTAAGCAACAGGAAATCGAATAATCGCTCCTAGAGGGTCCATATAGGCAGAGACATAAACGCCTGCACTTATGGCATCAGCTTGGCGAAGCAGGAGGCTCAAAGCTCCACAGCCATGTGGTGAATATAGGAAGGAAAGACAAAGCAAAATGCAAAGCTGGCTGCTAAAACTAAGACTTTTTTACCGACCTACTTAAAACAAACGCCTAAACCAAGCTGGGGAAATTTAATATACTTCTAAGTTAATTTTCTTTTTCTTTTGGGGAGGAAGAAAGACCGTGTAACGCCTTCCACCAAGTAGAAGTGCACTTGAAGTAATCCAGCAGAGATGCTGTGTTTTGAGCACCCTAGGGAAACATTCATTCATCCCAGCAAACATGCTCATACCAGCAGTGGGAAGAGGATTGGGGAAAGTATTCAAAAAACTGAGGAGCCTGCACTGCACTGGGAAATTCTAACCTGCCTTACCCACGGCCAAACCCTGCTGGAAAAGAAAAGCCAAGTAGAAGGGTTTCAATTGCTGTTGTTTCTCTGAAAAAGGAAAGCCCTCACACCACATGTTTAATGCAGCAGCACAATGGCGGGTGGCAAATTCAATCCATGTCTGGATCAAGGGAAAATATCAGGTTCCATACTCATCTCACCTCTTTGCTCCTGCTTGTTAGGTGTTAATCCAGCTTAGATGGTAACTCTTCTCCCTGTGTGGGTATTCCCACACATCACAGACTATGCCTCCAGAGGAAATTTTTGGCTATGCAAGATATACCCAGTTTTTCTCCCTTCCTGGTGAGCCCTCCCTGACCAGCCACCTCATCTCCTCCGGGCATTCCTTGCTCGCAGGGCCGACCTCCCTATTGCCAACAGGGTTTTAGAAGAGAAACGCAAACACTGCAAGACTGTCACCCCTTTTCTGGCTAATAACAAATATTAATAATACTAATAATCCCCAAAGCAAACCTGACGTCTCCCTCCCACCTCCGCCTCTCATGGGGAAGGTGTCATCCCTCAGCCACGGAGCTGAGGCACATAACAGAGGTGTTTGACCCCCTATTAACCACAGCATCTTCAAACACACTGCCACGATGGACGCTGTGCGCTTGGTACCTTAAAAAAAAAAAAAAACAAAACAAAACAAAAAATGAACAAGAACAAAGCATCGCGGTGGCAAATGAGTCACCGGTGTGGTCAAGATGCTTTTGCAAAGTAGTTTTTATTCTGCTCCAGCCCGGACTTGGCAGCTGGGCTCCTGCCGGGCTGGAAAAGCAAACCAGGCCCACGGTGGTGGCTGAAGGCACCGGAGTGTTACTTGGAGCACGGGGCAAGAAATTCGCAGCAGCGAGGAGGCTGGAGCCAAGGGCAGGCTGCCAGACACACGTGGATCTTAACGGAGTCGAGCCCTGTTTGCAGGTAAGCCCTCCTGGCTCGTCATCCCAGGGCAGAAATGGGGCCGAGCGGTTTATTTTTGATCAGGCTCAACTGCCACAGAAAAGCCAGGTTGCTTTTCACCAGAAGAAGTCTTGCCCCACAGCCATACAGAAAGAGGAGAAACATCTTTTCAACAAAGCAACGGCTGATCCACCCAGCAATACAAGACACCTTGTGATACTTACTCTACCTGAAAACAGCTTTTCTAAGAATTGCCTTGGATAAGCATAACATGGAAGCAACAAGGAGTGGGTGGGATGCAGGGAATGTGGGAGCACCCTTCACCTCCTCTGAGCACCCTTGCTAGCACAGGGACAGCCTATTTGCCATCTTTGGGCACCACAGGTCTCCATCAGTTTAATCAACCCAATATCTTGATTTACACTAGCACACTGGTACTTCAGCATCATGGTAGAAACACCGTCAGTGACACTCTGCTTCCCCCCCCATCAAAAACACACCCAGCTTAACAACCATTAAAATTAAAACAGCCGTGGATGACGCACTGGTGTGAGAAAGCATGAAGAAAATGTGGGCGTCACACCTGGCTCTGTGTTTATATAAAAATAAAATATGCCCAAACCACTTGAACAAGCTTGGCAACGGGAGGAGGACAGGACGCAGCCCCATCACACCGACACTTTTTCCAGCCACAAAGAAACACCATTGCTTTGTCAGGGGGGCACAGGGAAATATTCTTGCCGTGGCAGGAGGAACAAGAGAAGATGGTTTTATTTGGGGGGGAGAAAAAGAGGCCATCAAGCCTGTTTCCCCAAGGCCGGCTCATCAATTGCCCTGTGACAAGCTCCTAGTCCCTGCGGCAGGTGCACCCGCCCGATGAAAATGTGGCTCCCTGGCTGTTGAACCTCTCCTGTGCCCTTGTTCTCAGGGCTTTACGGCAGTTGGGGTCTTTGGCCAATATGGGCTGATATTGCCCACAGGTCAGGTTCGGCTCGGGTACCAATGGAGTCCCGGAGGGGCCCATTTTTGAGCTCGTCCCGCCCGGAGCAGCGTGCTGCACGTAAGGGCTCTCCCCTTGGGTTGGGACGCCGCCCAAGGAGACTCCTCGGGGTTCCTGCGGGTCGGGACGCTGCCCTGAGATGTCCCGCGTGGTTGAGAATCCCCACCTTTTATTAGGTGAGTGATGGAGCGTTTTGGGTTGTCGTTAAACCCCAGAAGTTTGTGTGGTGATAGTTTGTTCTCCTCTCATGGACAGAATGTTGATTAACTGCGTACAAAAATAAATTTTGCTTTTTTTTTTTTTTTTTTTTTTTTTTTCTCTTGTTAATCGGTTTGGGAGTTTCCGCAACAGTCCCATATGCCTAAACCCAGATGTTTATTGCTGCAGGGAGATACTCTGGTCACACTTGCCAGATCTTGAAGGAAAAGCAGTACTATCGCAAGCCATGTGCTCCGGGGCTGGGGCTCGTGCAAAGCTCTGCTGCCACCTCCAAATGACGGGCTGCGCCAGCCACCACGAGGGAGAAAACACCTAAAACGTCTTTGATGCCTCGCCACGGGGCCAGAATCTCAGAGCAATTTATCTCCCAGCCCACAGGGAGTCGCAGCCGAGTCCAGCTGGAAAAGCACAGAGCCCCGCGGGGCCCGGGGACTCACCAAGCATGAAGGACAAAAACAACCACGAAGAGATTTATACCTTGCACCGTAGAAATTGTCCTATGAAAGGCGGCCTTGCTTATGGGCCAGGTGAAGCCAAATTTTTTTAAACGCACCTTAAACCTTAGCACTTCAAATACAGGTAAGAGACAGATCACAAAGCGCTATGCGTTTTAAGCATCTTTCTTGCAACTATTTGTGCTCCCCAAATAAACCTCTACCCCTGGTTTGCAGCTGGCAAAACCCCAGAGGATGTTCCCTCGCCTTCTGGAGAAGTGGAGGGAAAAAAAGAGCAAATTAAGAAGGAAATCAGCTTTTTTTTTTTCAGCCTTGAAAGCAGCACGCTTACCCGCAGATCCGATGCCGCCTGTCCCGTCGGGCCTGCTTGATCCGAGCAGTTTTGCAGCTTGTACATCCAGTAGTGTTTCGCTGTGATGAAAAAATTCCAGGGCAGCAGGGACCCGATGCCCAGGAGGAAAAAAATAACGTAGGCCCCATGCAAGCGGTCGCTTGGCTTTTGCCGGCTGTATCTGTTCACCGAGGGCTCCTCGATGAGGGGCTCCTCGTCCAGGGGAAAGCTGCCGGCTGCCGGGTGCATAGCGCTGGCACGCTGCAAAAAACAACCACCCCCAAAAAGATATTATCACAGGAGGGTCGCAAACCGTTGCTCGCAAGGTGGTGTGTGTGGTTCCCTTCTCCTCCCACCCTGAAAGGTGTGGGAGGGGGGGAACCGAGTCACAGTGGGGATGGGCTCTGCCACAGCAGCACCCACGTTCCCATCCATAATTAATAATTAACCCGTCCCCTCGGCCTTGCAAAAGCAGGCAACCTCAGCCCAGCCGTGGCTCTAGAAAAAAATTAACAGCTTGTAAACCAACACCACCATCAAGCTCCGCGGAGCAACCTGTAAACTACTGTAACACCATCAGGCTTTCGAAAATGACTCAAGCAACGCCACCAGGCTTTGCAGACCGGCCTGTAAACTAATAGAACATCATCAAGGCTTTGTAAAATGACTCATAAACCAGCGTAACATCATCGGGCCTTGGAGGATGACTTTGTAAACTAATCACAACACCAGCAGGCTTTGCACGACGAGCATAAGCTACCGCCGCAATTGCAAAGCGGCTCCTAACCGATTGCAGCACGGTCAGGCTTCGCAAAGCGGCTGGTACGGCCCCGGGGGGCGGGCCGAGCCAAGTGCCGGGGGGGGGGAGAGGGAAATGCCGGAAATCAGAGATTTTGAAAAAAACAAAACAAAACCAAAACATTTCGGAAGGAGGAAGCGCCGCATCTCTCCACGCATCCCTCCTCCTCTCCGTGCAGCCCTCTGGCCCCGCACCGCCCCCCCCCCCCCCCCCCCCCCCCAGCACTCACCTGGGCCCCGCCGGCTCCTTCCCCGCCGAGCCCGGGCCGCTCCGCCCCGCCCCGCCCCGGCCCCGCCCCTCTCCGCCCCGCCCCGGCCCGGCCCCGCCCCTCCCCACTCCGCCCCACCCCGCCCCGCCCCTCCCCGCTCCGCCCCGGCCCCGGGCGGCGCTGCCGGGAGGCGAGGGGCGGTGCAGCCCTTTCCTTTTTTTTTTTCTATTAACTTTTTTCTCCCCCCTCCTTTTTTCCCTCTTTTTCTTTTTTTTTTTTTTTTTTTGTTTTTTTGTTTGGTTTGGTTTGGTTTTTGGTTTTTGTGTGTGTTTTTTTTTTTTTTTTTTAACTTTATTCTCCCCCTTAATTTTTTCCCCTTTTTCTTTTTCTTTTTTTCTTATTTTTTTTATTTTTGTTTGTTTGTTTGTGTTTTTTTAACTTTATTCTCCCCTTTCATTTTTTCTCCTTTTTCTCTTTTTTTTTTTTTAACTTTATTCTCCCCCTTCCTTTTTTCCCCTTTTTCTTTTTTTATTTTTTTAATTTTTTTTTATTTTTGTTTGTTTGTTTGGGTTTTTTTGACGTTATTCTCCCCTTTCATTTTTTCTCCTTTTTCTCTTTTCTTTTTTTTTTTTTTTTTAACTTTATTCTCCCTCTTCTTTTTTCCTCTTTTTCTTTTTTTTTAATTAAAAAAAAACATTTTTCCCCCTTTTCTTTCCTTTTTTTTAAAAAACCCTTTTTTCTCCACCCTCCTTTTTTCCCCTTTTTCTTTCTTTCTTTTTTTTTTTTTTTTTACTTTTTCCTCCTCCCCCCTCCTTTTTTTCCCTTTTTCCCCTTTCCTTTTTTTTTTTTTTATTTTTTTAAAAATAGCTACTCCATCTGACTGCTTGCAGATGCACCGCAAGCAGAACTTCCACACACACACCCCACCCCCCTCTGTTTAAAACCAAAAAACCCCACACCCCTCACTCAAACCCAGGACAAATCAGAAGCACTCTTAAAATCAGTGTGTGAAACACAGACTGGCTTATGACACCGCAATAAGAAAAGCTTTTGCCAGGGCTTGATTTTCGGTGGAAGTCACCAAAGTGCAAGTGCATCCTCCCCTCTCCTGAGGATGTGAGGGTGGGGAATGGGCAGCATCTGAGGGATGAGGGGCCCCTTACCAGAGCCAGGACATGGGTGCTTCGCTTCCTGCAATGCCCAAGTAGGATGAATTTCACCATAAAGTCCTCAGTTTCCTCCAAATTACACTTTAACATTCACCTGGAGGGCACCGTGGGACTGTGAAGGAAAACATCATTAGCCTTCTTCCTTTCCCTGACTCTTCCTTCCCTTTTTCCTTTCCCAAAAATGGGTTTGGCTCGTTGGCATGTGGGCAGCCACAGAAGAAAATGATAAACTAGTGGGGCCCCAGTTTTTTTGTAACCTCATCACAATCAGACATGCTTTGCTAACTTTTTTGTCCTTGTGTTGGCAAGTAGTGGAGTTTTACATATTATGTTTCCTGTTGCCAGCTACTTGCCTTTAGCCTTCCCCATCTCCAGTATCCAAGCTCCAACCTGGGTCTCTTCCTCGCTTTTTCCTCCATTGCACGTGTATCCAGCCTTTCATCTTTGAAGTAGTGTCCATTTTTTGCATAAGGCCCCAAGATGATCTAGTCTGGATTTTTTTTCCACGTCCAACTGCCTATGGGAAAAATGTAGACAGACCCAGATACCTCACCTCCCAACAGCACCAGTGCACACACAACTGGCCACTGCCCAGGGCCAGCCACCACCCACCTCCAGACTCTCCAAGCCCTCGAGGAGAGTGGATCAGGTGGCCTTGGCCACCCAGATGTCAAAATAGCCCAAGACACATGCATGTTCTGTTTTCTTTTTTTCCCCTCTTTTGTGAGCAAACAAGCAGAAGCACGCAACCAACCCACCGGCGATGTGCTGGAATGGAAAGGCTTTAGAGGAGCACGTGGGTTTTTCTCAAGTGGTTTCTCCTTGGGATTTTCATCCGTGTTGATGTGCCGGGCTGGGAAAGCTCCCGAGGAGATGGCACGGCCTATCCAAGTCAGAAACCCATCAGCTCAGAGGGTTTCGCCTGATATTTCTGACCTGCTGCTGTCTATCATGTCAAAAAACCCACGACTGGAGAAGATCCTCAGATCACATCAGCACAAGGGACTGTGACAGCTGAGTGGGGGAAAGCAAAGCCAGCCCACGCTTAACTGAAGCTGTGACGGCCCCTCGAGTCGATATTACCCACACTCGAGAGACCCTCCACAATGCAGACCCCCCGCACGGGCTCGGGGCAGATTTTAGGGACAGCCCTGTGCTCCAAACGGGGTTCAGGCTGCTGCCCCTCCAGCCAAGCCCACATACAGGGCCAGCACTGGTTTGAAAGCGAGATGAGCTGTGCCGGAGCGGAAAGAATTTCATGGTTATCCCAAAGGAGGACCGGGCATCCCGTCGTGCCCTCGCCGCACTCGAGGCGTAACAGAGCAAAGGGCACATAAGTAATGGTTAAGAGATTGAAATTTGTTAACTGGGACTTACAGAGCAGCTCCCCCCCACCCCTCCGTACAGCTTGCTCATGGTAAGTGAATTGTAAAATCCAGCGAGACTGGCCCAAAGGAAAAAAATCCTAAACACACAGTGGAAAAGTCAAGAGACACTGACGTGGGCTGTTCCAGCGCCCCTGGGTGTCCTTTCTTCAGCAGAATAAATCTGTCAACACTTAGCGATGGCACAGCAGTCACTTTTGAACCTGTCATGGGGTCTGAATTCAATATCTCAACTGCAGAGAAGATTTGGGCCAGTTTAAGGGGAATTAGCAAGCTGGGTATTTCAACAGGAGAACATCAGATGAATTCAGACACCAGTTGGTCAAAGCTAGCCACAGATTTGGGCCCTTGGAAAAATGGGTTGAAGCAAAAAGTACCCAGTGAAAGCATCTTGGGAGACTGAGGTTAAAGGAATTAAGATGCAAAAAAAAAAAAAAGAAAAGGTTATTGCTTCTGAGAAAGTATCTGCCTCGGCATCGCATTTGGGGCTGGAAAGCCCAGCTGAGAGGGGTTTGCACCTTTGTGTGGCCGTCACAACTGCTGCGGTGGCAGGGCAGCAATTTGCTCCCCAGTTCCTTCACCGGTTGCAGAACCCCCCCGCCCGCCCACAGCAGCGACGCCGTTGCCATCTCCTGGTGGCACCCTGTCCCCATGACAAGGAGGTCCCAAAGCGAGGGAAGGGGGCCAGGCGAGGAGGCAAGAGGCACAAGGTGGGGGGGTTAAGGACAGGCCAGCTCGAGTCAGGGCTTGCAGCTCTGTGCTCCATTCCCCCCTCCCAAATTAGGTGTCCCCCCTCTGGTCCTGGTCCTTGCTGGAAGGGGCATTGCTTTCTGCAGGGCTGGTAGATATCCCTCGGGGAAAGAAATCACCTGCTGGAGATGGTGGCTTAGCCCACAAGACACAGTTGTAGCCCTAGTCTCCCGCCTTGTAATCAGCCACGCAAGTCCAAACCAAACCCTGAATCAATCTCTGCAGCTTACCTCCATCAGGGACTCCCCGACAGCAACATCCTCTTGCTGCCGGCGCTGGCATGCCTGCGGCATCAGGCCCAAAAACAGGTTGGAGGGATGCTCCCGGGGATCCCCACACTGCTGCTGCTGCTGCTTGAGCTGGACCCGAATCCCTGCAGATGCTAAACCCAGCAGGAACTGGTGAGTGATGAACATGAGAGGAGCGAGCAGATTGTTTCTTTTTTTTTTTTTTTTTTTATTAGACTAGGAAATATAATTTATTGCATAAAAATTAATTTGTTACAATAGGAATGCTAAACTTTATTTACAGTTCTTTAGTTTACAGAATAAACAGATGTGGTTTTAGAGGATGCCACCAGGCCCATCCCCCGGACATATAAATATGGAAACAGATTGTGGAGCAAGAGGTGGACACTGCCAGCACGACACGGACCACGGGTTTGCCTTTGCCAAAACACCCAGACAGAGAAATCCCCCGGGGGGGGGGGGGGGGTTGTTCCTGGAAGCTGGCACCCATGGGAGATGGGCACAGGCAAACCCTGCCTCCTCCCTGTCCCGCTCCCGACGCAGGTTCCCTGGTCTGAAAAATGGGGAGAACCTCCCCCCCCCAAAAGACACAACTTGGAGGATCCAGGCAGCTGCTGCCCACCCAAAAGAAGGGGAAGACGAAGACGGATGGATGGGGATGGAGGCAGAGGGACCCGTGGGCGGGACGGACAGACAGGCGCGCATGCTGGCACGGTGATCCGTAAACCAGAGACGGTGAGAATGAGAGCGAGAGAGATCCAGACGTGACCCGAAAGAAGAGCATCTCATCTCATGGAGAGCCCCGCGGCACTGAGAAAGGAGCCTTATAAAACAACCAGCAGCCGGTTTCATCCATCAATTCATTTCTTCCCAAATGTGCTTACTCCCCCTCCTCAGCTCAGAGATGGGGTCTCCAAAATCGGATGCTCGAATGCAACCTAAAGGATGGATAAAACCCTTCCTATGTGACACAGGAGCTCACCCAGCAGAAGTCTTCCCATCCAGCACAAATGCAAAAGATCCCCTCTCTCCCCCAGCCTTGAAAACCCAGCAAGAAATGACCCCGAAACACAACAGAGAGCGGCTCTATCACTGCGTCACGAGCAGCCGAGAGGAATCATACCCGTGCCTGAGCAATACTGAAACTCCCCCCGCCCCGAGCCGCCCTGCAAAGGCGATGCTCTCACTCACGGCAGGGCTCCCTGAGTTTGCTCCGGTCCCTAGCACGCTGCAGGATGCTGCAGGCATCCCGCGACACCAGCCCAGGGCTTTGCAGCCCGAAGCAGGACCAGCTCTCAGATCCTGCTCTTAATACTTCTACTGATGGAGGATCCACAGCCTTGCTGTGTGATCAAGTCTAATCCTGAGCTTACCATCTTTTTTTTTTTTTTTTAACCCCAAATTTCTAAGATACAGCACTCACTGAGTAACTATTTCTATCTGCAAGCAATCTAAATTTTTACCTTCACTGAGACACCGTATCTTTTGTGAGGAACCTCGTTCCTGCCTA